CTAAGATCTCTTTTATGAGTAGAAAACTAGTTACAGAGTCATTCAGATTATGTTATCCAAGGGCATACCACTGTTCTCCACCACATCACATTCTTTCTCCGGCCCTGCCCCGATTCCAGCTCCTGGTGTGGACTACTCAGTAACAGCACTTACACACACAAAAAAAAAAAAAACTCATTAAAATGTCCTGTTTTGTCAGTTAGTCAAACCTTGCCTTCTGTTAGTTTCTGAAGTCTGGGGGTTTGGTAGCAGAGCTTTAGTTTACCATATTCCTGGCTAATAACAAAAACACGATGGCCGTCAAGGAGCGGGTTGTAACTAGAAAGATCCTTTTTCTCAAGTTTTACTGAGACCCTGGTTCTCTGTGGAAACTTAAATTGCTTTTGTTTCACATAGTTTGTGAAAATGACAAAACATTGCAATAATGAATTGAAATATCGGAAGCATTAATCAAGCCTTATCTCCAAAGCCCAATCAGGAAGGACAAGATTTCAGTGAATTTCTAAGCCTTGTACTCACTGCAGTGAGTGCACTTCTTGGGGACGTAGCTGCAAGTATTTAACTCAGCTAATGACAGCGTTCCAGTAGTGAGACAGAGCTGTCAAAGAATTTTGCTAATATTAGTTCTGCTAATCTTAAATATCTTCACGGTAATCACTAGTGTTCTAATAGCCAATATAGTGGGAAAGATAGATCCCACGTAAGTTACTGCCCTTAGCATTGTACTGAAGGTCAGGCTTGACACAGCAAAGCAAGCGCTTACTCACCTTTAAGGGTGAGTAATTGCAGTGAACTGTAAGTTTTAAAAGTGCATGTTTATATGTCTTACTTTGATGGATTGTGGGTTTGTGTGTGTTGGAGTCATGCCCCCAAAGCACGAACAGAGTTACAGTTAGGCATCATAACGATATAGCTGCTGCTATTTTGAAAGATGTGGTGACAATATCTCTCAAAAAAAGAATGTTTTTGCAGTTAGATCCATTGCCTTATGTAAGCAGAAAAATCAATTACTTCAAATCAGGAAGCGCTAGATGTTGTAGTCTGATACTATTGGCTACAGCACTGATTTTGACAAATGCTTGTGACTGCATTATAAGTTATCTGAAAAAGAGAAAAATGTAGAGAATTGTTGTGTAATTACTGTTTAACAAAACTCCCCACTGCAGCCGATAGGAAGGACTGTTTATATGTTGCTGGTGTGATAGGGAATAATTACATGATTCCAAGTTCTATATAATGAATTTAGCTTTTTTTCATTGCAACTTTTTTTTTTGTTAATAATAATATAATCCTAGTAATAAAAAGTTTAAAAAGGGTATCGTATAACAATCATATTTATAGGGTGGATAATAAAAACCAATCCATTAAAGGCACTCATATGGGTTGATTTGCGCAAATCTTCCTAAAAAATATTGTTCTGTTTTTTAAATGACATTTTGAAGGCCTCTTCTACAGCGCTCTACTTTTTCTTCCGCGTGCTGTTTAAACTCTGAAAAGCCAATGGAGGCAGTATCAGCACTGATACAGAGTGCAGTGTGTAAACAAAAGAAGTAATAAAATATATTCTGAAATTAGCTTTCAGGGTTCAGAAATTAAGAAGGGCAAGGTTTTGGTCAAATGACCTTATTTAAGCTGTAAAAGAAGATAAGACATAAACTCTACAGGAAGAAAGAGAGACTCATCAAAGGAATTAATGCTTCTGAGCATTGCGGGCCTGATTCTCATTTACACCGATTATCAAGTTATTTTTCTGTGTCACGTAGTACCTAATGACTGGAAGGTTTGATACCTTTTAGGACTCACAAATCAAGACTGCTGGTAAAGCTAATAGCACTAAATACATTCTAAAAAGCCAGGCAGGGTCAGTTTTGGCTTCAGGTGGTTCTGAAGGATGTCGGAATATCAATAGCAGCTATGTTGGCATGTGGTGCAAAAGGAGTCGTGTGTTCATACCTTCTAATCCTCCCACCTCCAACGTGCTCCTTCCTGCTCGTGCAGGAGCAGCAACAGCAGGGCTGCAAGAGCCAGCGACGCTGCCTCCACGCGCAGGGGCAATTCTCCTGTGCTAGGACACTTCCCCCCGTTCTTGGGGCCACCCAAGCAGCTTAAAGGAAGGCAGTCAGCAAGCAGCAAGATGCCATCACTGGGCATAAATATTGCGTATTTGAGGAGAACTTTAAAAATCACCGAACGGAGAGTACGTCTTGGGGATGAGGTCAAGGCTGAAGGAATACTGGAATGTGGAGCAGCTGAAAGAGATGATGTTAAGAAAAGCAAGTTCAGATTTCAGCTTTTATATTGGAAAACCCTGGACTGCCATTTCAGTTAGGAACATAATCTTGGTTTTGTTTAGTACTTCTTTGCCCCCTGTATTCCCATGTTAATAACACACTCATGTCATTGTGAAGCAATTGGAGACCGTAGAAATAATTTCACAGCGTTTAACCTTCATCGCACAGGTGACTATGGAAAATAGTTCCAGTTGTGTTTAAGTAAGGTTGGTTACTGAGAGGAACCGCTTAAAAAGCTAACCTTCTAGGATACATTTAAATTAGTAGCAAAGCCAGTATTTAAAATGTATATAGTAGGGTTTGGGCAGCAATGGGGAAGTCTTTGGCAGTGGTATCCATTCTTACAGCTTCACAGCAGACCAAGAGCAAAGCCTAATCAGTACAGATTTGGTACTAAGTAAATGCATCCAACCTTATTATTACACTCGTACCACATTCATATCTTTTCCTATTCTCCAGCTTCCTCGGTAGTAATGATGTTATTTTCTGTTATTGGCAGAAAAGATTATGTAAGGCTGCAAACGTACATATAATGGCACATTCGGCATCATTCTCACAAAGCAAGCAACTTAATAGACGATAGCAGAAAAAAAATATGCTGAAATCCGTAGTAGTTTCTCAAGAAAACGTTATCTTCTGATTATTGTTTAAGTTACTTTTTGCTTGGGACCTGTATTCAAAAAACTGAAGTTAATTGTGACTCCCCTCCTTTACAGGCAGCCCTCTTCAGAGTCCTTTGATGTCAGTGGAAAGAATCCCATTGACTTCAGTGGCCTTTGAACCAGATGTAGTAAAAGGGCAACAGAGCATTTTGTACGGGTTGCAATTTGGTAACTCGCTTAAAGGGGGAGCGTTCTGTTGCCTATCTCTATTTTCCCCTTCTTTTTATTATTTTTAATATTTGTATACCATCACAAATAACGTAGATACTTGAAACGCTGAAGAGGACAAATGTCTCTGCTCTGACCAG